ATCTCATTGCGGGTCACAAGTCACAATATGGCGGACACGGTTGGCAAGCTGTAGATTATCACATTAAAATGGTCATATAAAATTTAAGCAGGATAAAGAAGTACAAAAACAAGTACAAAAACAAGCAGAAAAAACAAAACAAACAACGTCAATATGTTTTTTCAAGGCTTATAGGACAAAATACTGCGTCATGGTGGAGGCGAGGAGCCATTTTTGGTGTCCTTTTTGGTCCGGCAAAACGTCCTTCAGCTGAAAACAATTTCACATTACAAACTGTCGGGGGCCTTCATGTGATTCCATCCTAAAAAGAAGGAAACGATGAAAATTCAGGGAGGTGTCACGGTGAGCTGGAGGAGCATCAGTCAACAAATATGAAACAGTCATTGGGGGCGGTAGTTGTTGGGAACAGACACAGCAAACATCTGAACATGCAAATCTGCCGGCCTTCTATTACCGGGTCACCCGGCTACCTGTAGCCAACGTGATATAAAACAACCCAAACCCAAGCCCGGCTCCACCTCAGGATCCAACAAATACACGGAGCGACTCTGGCCACGTCACTGCCATCCCTGAAGCCTTCCACCAATTGGATTGATGAACCATGACGGCCTGAATTTTATGGTTGAGTGGTGAGCACTTCCTGCCTAACAGCACTGAGGTCTTTGGTTTGGTTCCTGGCAAGGAGATCAACTGCATGTTCTCCCTGTGTTTGCATGGGTTTCCTCCCACACCCCCATGGAACAGCCTTCTTCTGGAGGAGACTACCACAGAGAAGCTATGCCCACCCCTCCTCTCTGCTGCCCATTCACAGAGGCCTTTGTATTTTGTTATTGGAGGGGTGCAGTAGGACAGGCAGGTGCACAGCCTCCTCCCCCCCCCATGGTGTCCCTTGTACCTGGGGGGTGGTGAGGCCCCCCGATGGTGGCCACTGACAACCATGGTGTCTCTTCTGCCTGAGGGGTGGTGAGGCCTCCCTGTAAAAAGTGAATGCACACTATAAGCCTTCTTCTGGAGGCGACCACCACAGAGCATATATACCCAACCCTCCTCTCTTCTGCCCATTCACAGAGGCCTTTGAATTTTGTGATTGGAGGGAGGCAGGACAGGTGGGTGCACAGCCTCCCCCTTCCCCCCCATGGTGTCCCTTCTACCTAGGGGGGTGGCGACGCCCCCCTGTAAAAAGTGAAGGCATGCTATAAGCCGCCTTCTTCTAGAGAAGAACACCACAGAGCAGCTAAGCCCACACCTCCTCTCTGCTCCCCATTCACAGAGGCCTTTGTATTTTGTGATTGGAGGGGGGCAGCCCCCCATGGTGGCTGCTGACAACCATGGTGTCCCCTCTGCCTGGTGGATGGCGATGCCCCCCCTGTAAAAAGTGAAGGCATGCTATAAGCCTTCTTCTTCTGGAGGAGACCACCACAAAGCAGCTATGGCCACCCCTCCTCTCTGCTGCCCATTTACAGAGGCCTTTGTATTTTGTGATTGGAGGGGGGCAGTGGGACAGGCGGGGGTACCCCTCTCCCGATGGTGGCTGCTGACAACCATGGTGTCCCTTCTGCCTGGGGGGTGGCGATGCCCCCCTGTAAAAAATGAAGGCATGCTTATTATAAGCCTTCTTCTGGAGGAGACCACCACAGAGCAGCTATGCCGAACCCTCCTCTCTGCTGCCCATTCACAGAGGCCTTTGTATTTTGTGATTGGAGGTGGTCAGCGGGACAGGCGGGAGGCACCCCCTCCCTCCCCCCCATGGTGGCTGCTGACATGGTGTCCCTTCTGCCTGGGGGGTGGTGAAGCCCCCCTGTAAAAAGTGAAGGCAAGCTATAAGCCTTCTTTCCTCTCTGGAGAAGACCACAGAGCAGCTATGGCCACCCCTCCTCTCTGCTGCCAATTCACAGAAGCCTTTGTATTTTGTGATTGGAAGGGGGCAGTGGGACAGGCAGGGTTACCCCCCTCCCGATGGTGGCTGCTGACAACCATGGTGTCCCTTCTGCCTGGGGGGTGGCAACGCCCCCCTGTAAAAAGTGAAGGCATGCTATTAGCCTTCTTTTTCTGGAGACCACCACAGAGCAGCTATGCCCAACCCCCTCCTATCTGCTGCCCATTCACAGAGGCCTTTGTATTTTGTGAGTGGAGGGGGCAGCAGGACAGAACTGGATCACAGGGCAATGGAAGAAGGTGGCCTCGTCTGATGAATGACATTTTTTTTTCCATCATGTGGATGGCTGGGTGGGTGTGCGTCACTTACCTGGGGAAGAGGTGGCACCAGGATACAGTATGGAAAGAAGACAAGCCGGCGGAGACAGTGTGATGGTTTGGGCAATGTTCTGCTGGAAAACCTTGACTCCTCCTGCCATTCATGTGGATGCTGCTTGACACGTACCACCTACCTAAAAACATTGTGGGTGACCAAGTCCACCCCTTCATGCAAACGGTCTTCCTTGATGGCAGAGGGCTTTTTCAGCAGGATAATGCACTCTGCCACACTGCAAAAATGGCTCAAGAATGGTTTGAGGAACAGAACAATGAATTTGAGGTGTTGCGTTGGCCTTCAAATTTCCCAGTTCTCAATCCAAATCGAGAATCTGTGGGAAGTGCTGGAAGAACAAGTCCAATCCATGGAGGCCCCACCTCCCAACTTAGAGGACTTAAAGGATCTGCTACCAACAGCTTGGTGCCAGTTACCACAGCGTACCATCAGAGGTCTAGTGGAGTCCATGGTGAGATGGGTCAGGGCTGTTTTGGCAGCAAAAGGGGGACCTACTCAATATTAGGTGGGTGATCATAAATTATGGCTGATATTCAATATTGTGAAGACCATGTCTTGGAGACCATTGAGGGACACAGGAGTTCAGGAACTGTCAGATTACACAGCCACCTACAGGAGGACTGGACACTGGCAAACAAAAAAAAAATAGTGGTCCAGTCAAACATGACCTCTGCTCCCAACACAACCTTGATCTATGGCAAAGCAGTACCAAGAGCACGATCGATAACACAGAATGGTGGGTCCTGTGTTCCTCTATGGTCTTCAAGAATTGTATATGCAAGTATAAAATTCCCATTTTGTTTCCATTGTCTATTGAGATAGAGGAATTTAGAGACGGTCGGCATGTCCCGAAGCAGCCAACTGTTGGGCGGACCATGCAAAAACAAAACCAGGGACTGCCTCAAAAAGCTACCTACAGGGACTTATGGAAGCTAGCCTTGGATGAGGTCTGGACACCCACATGAAAGAACTTTGAGAACGCGTGAAGAAGACAGCCTTGCAGATCTGGCCAACAGTAGCCTGATGATGCCAAAATGCCCAAGAAGTGCCCACAGATCGAACAATGTGCCTTCACAGGAAAGGGTTGAACCAGATCCTTAGGAATGTTGGATTGCCTGAGCCACTGAGAGATGGTGTGATGGCAAGCAGAGTCCCCCTTACAGGGACATGAGGAATGATGATATATGAGCTGCGAGCTAAGCCTGCACAGCATGAAGTCCATCCAGGCAAAGGAGGAAGATCTTCTGATGAACAGGAAGAGACAGAGGAACAGAAGAACAATGTCCTGCTAGAGGTGAAAGGCCATGACGTTAGAAAAAAAGGAAGTGTCAGCGACCTCTGCTGTGTCTGGCCACCCGGAGATGCTGGACGGGGCCCTGTCTGACCACTTAGACAACCTTGCCTTGTTCCTTGTGAACCTTGAACGCTTCGCTCCTTCCATGAGCTTCCCATTTAAGCCATGGATTTGAAGGTCCCAAAGTCAGTTGAATATATAATACCCCCCACCCCCCCCCCCACACTCTCATTGGTCGTAGAATGACGTAGATATGGAGGTGACACCCCCCACACTCTCATTGGTGGTAGAATGACGTATATATGGAGGTGACACCCCCACACTCTCATTGGTTGTAGATATGGAGGTGACACCCCCATAATCCATTGGTTGTAGAATGACGTAGATATGGCGGTGACACCCCCACACTCCCATTGGTCGTAGAATGACGTGGATATGGAGGTGACACCCCCACACTCTCATTGGTCGTAGAATGACGTGGATATAGAGGTGACACCCCCACACTCTCACTGGTCGTAGAATGACGTGGATATGGAGGTGACACCCCCACACTCTCACTGGTCGTAGAATGACGTGGATATGGAGGTGACACCCCCACACTCTCATTGGTCGTAGAATGACGTGGATATAGAGGTGACACCCCCACACTCTCATTGGTTGTAGAATGACATGGATGTGACACCCCCACACTCTCATTGGTTGTAGAATGACGTAGATATGGAGGTTGCACCCCCACACTCTCATTGGTCGTACGACGTAGGTATGGAGGTTGCACCCCCACACTCTCATTGGTCGTACGACGTAGGTTTGGAGGTTGCACCCCCACACTCTCATTGGTCGTACGACGTAGGTTTGGAGGTTGCCCCCACACACTCTCATTGGTCGTATGACGTAGGTTTGGAGGTTGCACCCCCACACTCTCATTGGTCGTACAATGACGTAGGTTTGGAGGTTGCACCCCCACACTCTCATTGGTCATAGAATGATGTAGATATGGAAGTGACACCCCCACATGATTGGTCGAAAAATGAGGTAGATATGGAGGTTGCACCCCCACACTCTCATTGGTCATAGAATGTAGATATGGAAGTGACACCCCCACTCTCATTGGTCGTAGAATGACATAGATATGGAGGTGGCACCCCCCACTCTCATTGGTCATAGAATGATGTAGATATGGAAGTGACACCCCCACACTCATTGGTTGAAAAATGAGGTAGATATGGAGGTGACACCCCCACACTCTCATTGGTCGTAGAATGATGTAGATATGGAAGTGACACCCCCACACTCTCATTGGTCGTAGAATGATGTGGATATGGAAGTGACACCCCCACACTCTCATTGGTCGTAGAATGACGTGGATATGGGGGCGACGCCAACACACTCTCATTGGTCGCAGAATGACGTGGATATGAAGGTGACACCCCCACACTCACCTTACAAATGAAGGAAGAACACCTGCTCCAGGTTCCGATCTCCACATTGGACGGTATATTTGCCTTTATCCTCGGAAGTCACATTGTATATTGTGAGGTCACCATTTGGACCATACTTAATGCGCTCATCTTCGTCCATCGCCTTAACGTCCTTCTTCCAGGTGATCTGAGCCTTGTCGGCCATCTTTTTGGGGTGAAATGTGATGCTGCCGATGGGCTGGCTCTCCAGGCGGCCTGTAGAGGGGAAGACATATTATGACATGAACGTAAAGTAAACCTAACATTACTGTGATGTCCCCAACCAGATAAAGTACAAAAAGCAACAAGGACACTACATACCTGAAAAGGTCTCCCGGAGAATCCCCTTTGAACCCGGCAACAATCTGGAGTATCCAAATATTGACTTTATGTAGGAAATCAAGACTCCGAAAATTGGTCCAGCAATGTGAATGTCAGCCTTACAGATCAATAGGGATGTGCAGAATGTGGAAGGGGCCAAACTCAAACCAACTTCTGGTGAGTTCAGATAGGTACATGCAGCTGCAGGCGGTGCATTTCATTGCTATTATCCGCCTTGTAGTAAGACAGACTGACCAAAAGGAACCCAGCTGTGATTGGTCTGACCCAGGAGGTACCCAGCTGTGAGGTGACCCAGGAGGTACCCAGCTGTGAGTGGTGTGACCCAGGAGGTACCCAGCTGTGAGTGGTGTGACCCAGGAGGTACCCAGCTGTGAGTGGTGTGACCAGGAGGTACCAGCTGTGAGTGGTGTGACCCAGGAGGTACCCAGCTGTGAGTGGTCTTGACCCAGGAGGTACCCAGCTGTGAGTGGTGTGACCCAGGAGGTACCCAACGATATGAGCCAGGTATCCCAGCTGTGAGCGGTCTGACCCAGGAGGTACCCAGCTGTGAGCGTGGTCTGACCCAGAAGGTACCCAGCTGTGAGTGGTCTGACCCAGGAGGTACCCAGCTGTGAGTGGTCTGACCCAGAGGTACCCAGCTGTGAACGGATATGACCCAGAAGGTATCCCAGCTGTGAGCGGTCTGACCCAGAAGGTACCCCAGCTGTGAGCGGTCTGACCCAGAAGGTATCCCAGCTGTGAGCGGTCTGACCCAGAAGGTACCCCAGCTGTGAGCGGTCTGACCCAGAAGGTACCCCAGCTGTGAGCGGTCTGACCCAGAAGGTACCCCAGCTGTGAGCGGTCTGACCCAGAAGGTACCCAGCTGTGAGCGGTCTGACCCAGAAGGTACCCCAGCTGTGAGCGGTCTGACCCAGAAGGTACCCCAGCTGTGAGCGGTCTGACCCAGAAGGTACCCCAGCTGTGAGCGGTCTGACCCAGAAGGTATCCAAGCTGTGAGTGGTGTGACCCAGAAGGTACCCCAGTATTGAATGGTGTGAGGAGGTACTCCAGCTGTGAGCAATCTGAAGGTACCCAGATGTGAGTGGGCTGACCCAGGAGTACCCCACTGGTCTGACCCAGATGTGAGTGTAGCAGGTACCCCAGCTGTGAGCGGTCTGACCCAGAAGGTACCCCAGCTGTGAGCGGTCTGACCCAGAAGGTACCCCAGCTGTGAGCGGTCTGACCCAGAAGGTACCCCAGCTGTGAGCGGTCTGACCCAGAAGGTATCCCAGCTGTGAGCGGTCTGACCCAGAAGGTACCCCAGCTGTGAGCGGTCTGACCCAGAAGGTACCCCAGCTGTGAGCGGTCTGACCCAGAAGGTACCCCAGCTGTGAGCGGTCTGACCCAGAAGGTACCCCAGCTGTGAGCGGTCTGACCCAGAAGGTACCCCAGCTGTGAGCGGTCTGACCCAGAAGGTACCCCAGCTGTGAGCGGTCTGACCCAGAAGGTATCCCAGCTGTGAGCGGTCTGACCCAGAAGGACCCCAGCTGTGAGCGGTCTGACCCAGAAGGTACCCCAGCTGTGAGCGGTCTGACCCAGAAGGTACCCCAGCTGTGAGCGATGACCCAGAAGGTCTGTGAGAGTCCCAGAAGGTACCCCAGCTGTGTCTGAAGGTACCCGCTGTGAGCGGTCTGACCCAGAAGGTACCCCAGCTGTGAGCGGTCTGACCCAGAAGGTACCCCAGCTGTGAGCGGTCTGACCCAGAAGGTACCCCAGCTGTGAGCGGTCTGACCCAGAAGGTATCCAAGCTGTGAGTGGTGTGACCCAGAAGGTACCCCAGTATTGAGTGGTGTGACAGGAGGTACTCCAGCTGTGAGCGATCTGAGGCAGGTACCCAGATGTGAGTGGGCTGACCCAGGAGGTACCCCACTGAGTAATCTAAGCCAGGTACCCCAGATGTGAGTGGTGTGACCAAGCAGGTACCCCTGTGAGTGATCTGTGGGTGTCATGACCCAGGAGGTACCCCAGTTTTGAGTGACCTGGAGCTCCTATGCCTTCTTCACACCTCATTATGTACTATTGTGACCTGTAGTCCCGTGCCAGAACACGCTGTTCTCAGCGCTCACATGGTGACATCGACCATACTATGCATAACTGCACCGCTTACTCAGTCTAGTGTAATTGCAGGGGGCGGAGGACAACTCTACGCCTCCTGCATTTGGGGCTTTGAGCCTTCGGGACTGGCCGTATTTTTTTCCGCTACTGTTATTGAGCATTTGGGATGGTCCTGGAGATCCTAATACAGTCAAAAAACAACATCCTGAGGACCAACAGTAAAGAAAAAAAATCAATACATGAAGAACTTCCAGTTCTGGGAAGAGGCACTACCAGGTTAGAGGCTGCTCAAGGGCACTCCCCAATCAATGCTACAGGATCCCCTGAAGGGTCCAATCTTCACCCATCACAGCCAACTCCACCACTAAAGGCTTGGGATCCCTGCCCTGGACCAGACCATACCAGTCCCACAAGGCAATACAGTTCGGTCCGTATATATTCGGACAAAGGCACAATGTTCGTTTTTTCAGGTATTTACCAAAACCTATCCCATCTCTAGTTCTATGATGGATCTGGGCGGACCATGCGCACTCTCAGGTGTAATTTGAGGGTATGTACATCCACATTGGGGGAGGGGTTTAGGAATTACAGCTCTTAAGAGTCAAGGACATGGCCAAAGACTGGATTTCCTCCTTTGGTCATGTCCATGGGTTCCAGACTTCAGGCAAAGCATCAGAAAGGAGGAAACCCAGTCTTTGCCTGAAGTCTGGAACCCATGGATATGACCAGAGACTGGGTTTCCTCCTTTCTGATGTTTTGCCTGAAGTCTGTGTCATTATGATATCTACTCCTTGCAGGATTGTGTATTTCCATGTGCAGTCTGGTAGACAGGAAGCATGGAGCACAGCAGCTACACTATACTGCCAAAAGTATTGGCCCCGCCCTTCCAATCATGTGGTTCAGGTGTTTCAATCCCCTCTATATCATGTGATTCAGGTGTTCCAATCCCCTCCGTATCATGTGATTCAGGTGTTCCAATCCCCTCCATATCATGTGATTCAGGTGTTCCAATCCCCTCCATATCATGTGATTCAGGTGTTCCAATCCCCTCCATATCATGTGATTCAGGTGTTCCAATCCCCTCCATATCATGTGATTCAGGTGTTCCAATCCCCTCCATATCATGTGATTCAGGTGTTCCAATCCCCTCCATGGACACAGGTGTATACAATCCATCCCCTAGGCATGCAGACTGCTTCTACAAACATTGGTGAAAGAATGGGTCGCTCTCAGGAGCTCAGTGACTCCAAGCGTGGTCCCGTGATAGGTGGCCACCTGGGCAATAAGTCCATCCGTGACATTTCCTGGCTACTAAATATTCCACGCTCAACTGTTAGTGGGATTATAACAAAGTGGAAACCACTGGGAACAACAGCCACTCAGCCACCAAGTGGTAGGCCACGTCACATGACAGGGCGGGGTCAGCGCATGCTGAAGCGCACAGTGCGCAGAAGTCACCAACTGTCTGCAGAGTCAACAGCTAAAGACCTCCAAACTTGGTGTGGCCTTCAGATGAGCCCAACAACAGTGCGTAGAGAGCTTCATGGAATGGGTTTCCATGGCCGAGCAGCTGCATCCAAGCCTTCCATCACCAAGTGAAATGTAAAGCGTCGGATGCCGTGGTGTAAAGCACGCCGCCACTGGACTCTAGAGCAGAGGAGACGCGTTCTCTGGAGTGACCAATCACACTTCTCTGTCTGGCAATCCGATGGACATGTCTGGGTTTGGCGGAGGCCAGGAGAACAGTACTTGCCTGACTGCATTGTGCCAAGTGTACAGTTTGGTGGAGGGGAGATTATGGTGTGGGGTTGTTTTTCAGAGGTTGTGCTTGGCCCCCTAGTTCCAGTGAAGGGAACTCTTAAGGTGACATTTTGGACAACTTTGTGGGAGGAGTTTGGGGATGGCCCCTTCCTGTTCCAACATGACTGCCCACCAGTGCACAAAGCAAGGTCCATAAAGACATGGAGGAGCCAGTTTGGGGTGGAGGAACTTGACTGTCCTGCACAGAGTCCTGACCTCAACCCCATAGAACACCTTTGGGATGAATTAGAGCGGAGACTGCGAGCCAGGCCCCCTCCCCCGACATCAGTGCCTGACCTGACAAATGTGCTTCTGGAAGAATGGTCCAACCTTCCCATAGACACCCTCCTAAACCTTGTGGACGGCCTTCCCAGAAGAGTTGAAGCTGTTATAGCTGCAAAGGGCGGGGCCAACTCAGTATTGAACCCTATGGACTAAGACTGGGGGGCCATTAAAGGTCATGTGTGTGGAAAGGGCGGGGCCAACTCAATATTGAACCCTACGGACTAAGACTGGGGGGCCAGTAAAAGTCATGTGTGTGGAAAGGCCCGTGGCCCAATGCCTGGGGCAATATAGTGTATGTGTAGTGAGGTCAAGAATATCTGGAGTTAGTTCACCTTTTCATTTTTTTTTGAAAAGGCAAACTACTCCTTTAAGAAAAAGGCCCCTTACCTTGGTGGTCAGTGGGGATAAAAATTGTATCCCCTCCCCCTCCAACCTTCCTTATAGAAAGCTAAATGATGATTGGTGTCAGTGGTCATTTCTTGGACGGCCCAAAATTGCTAAATGAACGCCCAGCAACATCTGGAGGAACACGATGAGAGAGGCCGGCCTAAGGAATAGAAGAACGGACACAGATGGGGATTGGCTGGGTGACACTATGGACCAGCATACCTTCTCCCGGCATTGTGCTGACAACACGCTTCCCTACACGGCCGACGACACGCTTCCCTACACGGCCGACGACACGCTTCCCTACACGGCCGACATACAAATGTACAGAACAGTCCGGGGCCACACCATGGAAAGAAACATTGTGGGACCTGAAATGATGTCCAATCCAAGACAGCTACAGAATGAACACAGATATAGTTCCAGGTATGCCGGGGCTTCCACCTTCTATTACTGAGACCAAAGTTCAATTAGTAGACCAGTAGACCCTCTGTACCCCGGGATGATGGGAGGGACCCCTCACTGGTCACCAGCAGACCCTCTGTACCCCGGGATGATGGGAGGGACCCCTCACTGCTCACCAGCAGACCCTCTGTACCCCAGGATGATGGGAGGGACCCCTCACTGCTCACCAGACCCTCTGTACCCCGGGATGATGGGAGGGACCCCTCACTGCTCACCAGACCCTCTGTACCCCGGGATGATGGGAGGGACCCCTCACTGCTCACCAGACCCTCTGTACCCCAGGATGATGGGAGGGACCCCTCACTGCTCACCCAGACCCTCTGTACCCCAGGATGATGGGAGGGACCCCTCACTGCTCACCAGTAGACCCTCTGTACCCCGGGATGATGGGAGGGACCCCTCACTGCTCACCAGCAGACCCTCTGTACCCCGGGATGATGGGAGGGACCCCTCACTGCTCACCAGACCCTCTGTACCCCAGGATGATGGGAGGGACCCCTCACTGCTCACCAGACCCTCTGTACCCCGGGATGAGGGGGGGACCCCTGCTGCTCACCAGCAGACCCTCTGTACCCCGGGATGATGGGAGGGACCCCTCGCTGCTCACCAGCAGACCCTCTGTTACCCCGGGATGATGGGAGGGACCCCTCACTGGTCACCAGCAGACCCTCTGTACCCCGGGATGATGGGAGGGACCCCTCACTGGTCACCAGTAGACCCTCTGTACCCCAGGATGATGGGAGGGACCCCTTGCTGTCACCAGTAGACCCTCTGTACCCCAGGATGATGGGAGGGACCCCTCACTGTCACCAGTAGACCCTCTGTACCCCGGGATGATGGGAGGGACCCCTCACTGGTCACCAGCAGACCCTCTGTACCCCGGGATGATGGGAAGGACCCCTCACTGGTCACCAGTAGACCCTCTGTATCCCAGGATGATGGGAGGGACCCCTCACTGGTCACCAGCAGACCCTCTGTACCCCAGGATGATGGGAGGGACCCCTCACTGGTCACCAGTAGACCCTCTGTACCCCAGGATGATGGGAGGGACCCCTCACTGGTCACCAGTAGACCCTCTGTACCCCGGGATGATGGGAGGGCCCCTCACTGGTCACCAGTAGGCCCTCTGTACCCCGGGATGATAGAGGTAAGAGTGGTGATTGGATACCAACCTTCCTCCTGGACTGTGTTGTTGGCAGTACTGTGAACATTTACTCTGTAGGATTCCTTTCCCAACGCGTCATTCACAGCGACAGATCCCGCCTCCACAGAGATGTTATTGGTGTGGAACTTGAGACCTGAGACCGTCCAATCAAATAGGGGGACGTCGAAATTCTTCCAGGTCAGCTTTGTCACATTCTCCATGTCGGTGGTGAGGGTCACTCTGTCATCCTTGGGTTCAATCATCACAACGCCATTCATCTCTATAGAGAAAACATGGAAAATGGATTAGATTTACACATCCGTACGTCAGTATCAGTATACACAGTGCAGCACACGTACACCTCAGTACACCCTCCATACATGTCAGTATACACAGTGCAGCACACGTACACCTCAGTACACCCTCCGTACATGTCAGTATACACAGTGCAGCACATGTACACCTCAGTACACCCTCCGTACATGTCAGTATACACAGTGCAGCTCAGTACAGCACAGTACACCTCCGTACATGTCAGTATACACAGTGCAGCACACGTACAGCTCAGTACACCCTCCGTACATGTCAGTATACACAGTGCAGCACACGTACAGCTCAGTACACCCTCCGTACATGTCAGTATACACAGTGCAGCACAGTACAGCTCAGTACACCCTCCGTACATGTCAGTATACACAGTGCAGCACACGTACAGCTCAGTACACCCTCCGTACATGTCAGTATACACAGTGCAGCACACGTACACCTCAGTACACCCTCCGTACATGTCAGTATACACAGTGCAGCTCAGTACACCTCAGTACACCCTCCGTACATGTCAGTATACACAGTGCAGCACATGTACACCTCAGTACACCCTCCGTACATGTCAGTATACACAGTGCAGCACACGTACACCTCAGTACACCCCTCCATACATGTCAGTATACACCAGGGGTGGGCAAACTTTTTGACTTGGGACCCCGCATGGGTTCATATACTGGATTCGGGGGCTGGACCAAGAGTAGATGAATGATGGTAGGTGTCATCCCTCAGTAAAGTATAGTAATATTCCCCCATATAGTAATTCTGTCCCCCATATAGTAATTCGTCCCCCATATAGTAATTCACCATATAGTAATTCGTACCCCCATATAGTAATTCGTCCCCCATATAGTCACCAGTAGACTCTCGTCCCCCATATGTAATGGGATCCCCCATATAGTAATTCGTCCCCCATATAGTAATTCTGTACCCCCCATGATTGGGATCCCCCCTCATAGTAATTCGTTCCCCCTATAGTAATTCATGTACCCCCCTATAGTAATACCCCCCCTATAGTAACCATCCCCATATAGTAATACATCCCCCCATATAGCAATTCAGGGCCCCTCATAGTCATACATCCCCCCTATAGTAATTCCCCGGGATATAGTAATTCATCCCCCATAGCAATACATCCCCCCTATAGCAATTCATCCCCCCTATAGTAATTCATCCCCCCTATAGTAATTCATCCCCTCTATAGCAATTCATCTGTACCCCATATAGTAATTCCCCCCATATAGTAATTCATCCCCCTATAGTAATTCATCCCCCATATAGTAATTCATCCCCTGGTATAGTAATTCATACCCCCTATAGTAATTCATCCCCCCTATAGTCAATTCATCCCCCCTATAGTAATTCATCCCCGGGATGATAGTAATTCATCCCCCATAGTCACCAATTCATCCCCTAGTAATTCCCCCCCATGATAGTAATTCATCCCCCATATAGTAATTCCCCATATAGTAATTCATACCCCCATATGGGAAATTCATCCCCCACTAGTAATTCATCCCCCATATAGTAATTCATCCCCCCTATAGTGATTCATCCCCCCATAGTAGTCATCCCCCCAGTTCATCCCCCTATAGTAGTTCATCCCCCATATTAAGTCCCCAAGTCCCCCCTGTGTCAATTCACTTACCTTTGCTCCGCGCGTTCCTCTCGCCGTGTTCCCGCGCCGTTCCGGTGTAGCATGAAAATCTGTCTCCTATGAGGATCTGTCCCCCTTGACGTATCTGCGCATGTGCCAGTTTCAGGCATTAGCAGCCGATCGGCGATCTCCGGCACATGCGCAGATACGTCGAGGGGACAGATCCTCATAGGGGACAGATTTTCATGCTACACCAGTCTTCAGGGCGGACTGTGAGGGGAGCCTAGCTCCGCGGGCTGGATTAAAAGGTCCGCCGGGCCGTATACGGCCCGCGGGCCATAGTTTGCCCACTGTATACACAGTGCAGCACACGTACACCTCAGTACACCCTCCGTACATGTCAGTATACACAGTCAGCACAGTACACCCTCCGTACATGTCAGTATACGCAGTGCAGCACACTTAGACCTCAGTACACCCTCCGTACATGTCAGTATACGCAGTGCAGCACCTCCGTACACCCTCCGTACAGTCAGTATAACGCAGTGCAGCACACGTACACCTCAGTACACCCTCCGTACAGGTCAGTTGTGAATATGTGAGGAGCAATGTACTCATGGGACATGTAGTCCTGGACAGGAGAAGATGGAGGCCGATAGACCGGAGGTAATAGAAGGCGGGACAATGACATGGAAACGTTTACACGGGATTGTACATTGTATCTAAATATAAATATATCTGTGCAGTGTTCCATCCCCATCCCCCTCCGTAGAGCTCCATCCCCATGCCCCCTCCGTGTAGCTCCATCCCCATCCCCCTCCGTGTAGCTCCATCCCCCTCCGTGTACAGCTCCATACCCCCTCCGTGTACATGTCATCCCCCTCCATGTAGCTCCAGCTCCCCCTCCGTAGTAGCTCCATCCCCCTCAGTGCAGCACACGTAGCATCCCCATCCCCCTCCGTGTAGACCCCATCCCCATCCAGTCCGTATACCACCCATCCCCCTCCATAGAGCTCCATCCCCCGTACATGTCAGTCTCCATCCCCCTCCATACAGCTCCATCCCCCTCCATAGAGCTCCATCCCCCTCCAGTGCACGCATAGAGCACCCATCCCCCTCCATAGTAGCTCCATCCCCCTCCATAGAGCTCCATCCCCCTCCATAGAGCTCCATGCCCCTCCATCCCCATCCCCCTCCATAGAGCTCCATCCGCCATCCCCCCTCCATAGAGCTCCATCCCCATCCCCCTCCATAGAGCTCCATCCCCATCCCCCTCCATAGAGCTTCATGTCGGGGTCCCAGTCACAGTACCTTGTATACATCCTATCCGAGGGGTACATATATGAAGTATTGGGCCGCCGGCCTTTCCACGCACATGAACTTTTTTTTTCTTTATAACAATCGGTTCTTTATTGCACATGACAGCAGAGCAGACACAATGGCCGACGTGGAGTAGAGCGTAGAAGCTGAAAGGAGTACACAAGGTGTGCGGAGACAATCCGGCGCCCCCACATAACAGACATACAGAATGTAATACAGCAGTCAGAGGATCGACCGTGACATGAAGTATGAGGATCGACTAACTCCATAGGGGAGGGGAATCAGTCAGGGGGGGAGGGGGGGGGGAGGTATCAAGAGGTGGTATGGAGCGCGGGAATATCTGGCAAACATCTGTGGAGACCCCAGCAGGGGGGGGGGGGGGGGAGGAGAGGCTGGACCTCGGGGGGGGGGGGAGGAGAGCGCTCGTGACCTCAGGGGGGGGGGAGGAGAGCGCTCGTGACCTCAGGGGGGGGGAGGGAGAGAGACTCGCCGACCTCGGGGGGGGGGGGGGGAGGAGAGCGCTCGTGACCTCAGGGGGGGGGAGGAGAGCGCACGTGACCTCAGGGGGGGGGGGAGAGGAGAGCGCTTGTGACCTCAGGAGGGGGGGGGAGAGCGCTCGTGACCTCAGGGGGGGGGGAGGGGAGCGCTCGTGACCTCAGGAGGGGGGAGGAGAGCGCTCGTGACCTCAAGGGGGGGGGGGATGGTGACTGCTGGACAATTAGCACATAGCATTTCCATACCTTTTATAGCAAACACTTGTAGCCCATCAGAATGAAGGACCTCCACCCGATAATGATCCCGGTCCTCTGGCTTCACATCACGTATCGTCAGACGTGTCTTCCCCATTCCTCCCGGCTGACCCTCAGTCTGGAACTTCACTGTGATGCAGCAGCAGCTCTCTGAAAAATATCACAAGGGATCCGTGATGTCGGAGTGTCCCACCTTGTCTGTGCCCCCCCATAAGAAGCCACTTCCTCACTACTGGGCTGGGCTGTGGGAGGCTATTGACACACAAAGTGCAACTCCGCCCCGCTGAAAACCAAACCACCCCCCCCATAAGATGCCACTTCCTCACTACTGAGCTGGGCTGTGTGAGTCCACTGACACCAAAGTGCAACACTCCGCCCCGCAACCACACACAAAAGATGCCACTTCCTCACTACTGAGCTGGGCTGTGTGAGTCTATTGACACACAAAGTGCAACTCCGCAGAGTACTGTGAATGAAGGAACTACAAGTACCCCTATCCTTTGTGGATGTCGGCTGAGGAGCGCCGTGATAGTTCATCGATCTTGTCCGAGTGGATCGACTCGCTGGACGGCCACACAGACACACTGATAGGTCTGCAGGAGTCCTGCATGGCACCGGAGATCGCCGGAGCAATTCTGCACAACTTCCCGCAACAAAGGATAAATAAATGCAGATTTACATTACCTGCAGAAAACTGTCTATTTATTAAATACCAAAATAGTGCCGCGCCTCTACTATTAATAGTAAATTATTTATATCCATATAATATTACCGAGCAACACACATACATAGCAAGAAAAAGTATGTGAACCCCTTGGGATTACTGGAGTTTTGCATGATTGGGCATAAAATGTGCTCTGAAACGTCATCTAAGTCACAACAATAGAAGAACATCAGTCCCTGCTGAACATAATACTACACAAACATTAGATGTTGCCATGGTTTCATTTTATAAACAATAACATGTAAACATTCACAGTGCATGGGAGGAAAAAGTATGTGAAGTATGTCCCTATCCCTTGTCCCCGTCACACAACACACGGTCCCCCCCCCCCCCCCCTTGTCCCCGTCACACACACACGTCCCCTGATCGATCGTTTATAAACAATGTTACTTTGTCCCCCCCCCCCGTCTGATCGATGTTTCATAAACAATGTTCCTTCCCCCCCCCCCCCCCCCTTGTCACACACACAGTCCCCCCCTCATCCCCGTCACAAACACGCGTCCCCCCCCCCTCCCCCACACGATGTTTCCCCCGTCACACACACACGCAGTTCCCCCCCGTATCCCATCTCACACACGTCCCCCCCCCCCTCCCCCACAAACACCGGTACTTTTGTACACACGCAGTTCCCCCCCGTTATAACACATCGTTCCCCCCCCGTCCCCCATCACACACACTTTGTGTCCCCCCCCCCCCCCGTCTGATCCGATGTTCACATAACACAACACACATGTTCCCCCATCCCCGTCTCACACACACATACAAACCCCCCCCCCCATCACACATACGACGGTCCTTCCCCCCAATCCCCGTCACACACACGGGGTCTACACTATCCCCCCCCATCCCCATACATGTTTGGTCGCCCCCCCCATTCATCTACACACACATGGTCCCCCCCCCCCCACACACACCACACACACACACACACACACACACACACACACACACTAACCACACACACACATATATACGGTCGTCCCCCCCCCCCATCCCCATCACACACGCGCCCCCCCCCCCCATCACACACACGGTGTCCCCCCCCCCCCCCCCCCCCCCACACACACACACGGTATCTCTATCCCCCCCCCCTGATCGATGTTCACACACACATGTCCCTTTCCCCTCCCACACATCATGTTTACATGGTCCCCCTCCCCAATGTTACATTTGTATACTACTCCGTCCCCCTGATCGATGTCCCCATAAACAATGGTTACCCCCCCCCTCCCAATCTCCATCTGATCGATCCCCGTTTTCACACAACACAACGGTTCCCCTTCACACACACACTACGGTCCCCATCTGATCCCGATGTTTCACACATGTTACGGTCCCCCCCCCCCCCCATCCCCGTCACACACACACGGTCCCCCCCCCACCCATCCCCGTCACACACACACGGTACGACCCCCCTCATCTCATCACCCTCAGTCCCCTGGAACTCACCCACTGGGATCAAATGTTGTTGCTCGGCTTGGATTTCAGTTTCTTTTCCTTAAAATATATAAAAGTTGATATTAGAAATGTTGTGAATTTTGTTACATTTACCAAAAATAATCATCACATTTATTATACAAATGAAAGCAGAATTTAGGAAATGTTTGTCCTCCCGCCTGGCAGTACTCGGTCGTCGGCTCGAATCCAACCACGGCACCACCTGCATGGAGTTTGCATGTTTCTCCCTGTGCCTGCGTGGGTTTCCTCCGGGTACTCCGGTTTCCTCCCACACTCCAAAGACATACTGGGAGGGTAATTGGCTCCAGTCAAAACTGTCCTTAGTTCCGCCCGTTAGCCCTGTCACCCACAGATCCCCCCACGCAGCCCATCACCCACACATCCCCCCCCGCAGCAGCCCATCAACAACAGGTCACCCCCCGCAGCAGCCCATCACCCAAAGATCCCCCCCGCAGCAGCCCATCACCCACAGATCCCCCCCGCAGCAGCCCATCACCCACAGATCCCCCCCACAGCCCATCACCCAAGATCCCCCCCCGCCCCATCCCCACAGATCCCCCTCGCAGCCCATCACCCACAGATCCCCCCCTCGCAGCCCATCACCCACAGATCCCCCCCGCAGCCCATCACCCACAGATCCCCCCCGCAGCCCATCACCCGTAGCCCCCGACATAGGCTGACATTTCTCTCCTACATGTAAAAATCAGCATTTTTTGATGGAAAATTTCAAGTCCGGAGCTACTAGCCAGGAATTAAGAGTTACTCACCACCAGTTACTCCACCCAACCTCTACTCCGCCCTTAACTCCGCCCCTAAACATGCGTCATAAATGATCTCATGAGATGACACTGCTAAATGTTTTTATGCAGAATGTAGAAAGGGAGGGGCGGAAGGATGGAAGGGAGGGAGGGGCGGAAGGATGGAAGGGAGGGAGGGGCGGAAGGATGGAAGGGAGGGAGGGAGGGGCAGAAGGATGGGAGGGGCGGAAGGATGGGAGGGGCGGAAGGATGGGAGGGGGGCGGAAGGAGGATGGGAGGGGCGGAAGGATGGGGAGGGGCGGAAGGATGGGAGGGGCGGAAGGATGGAGGGGGGGGAAGGATGGGAGGGGCGGGGGCGGAAGGGAGGGGCGGAAAGGGGGATGGAAGGGAGCGAGGGGCGGAAGGATGGGATGGAAGGGAGCGAGGGGGGGGGAAGGATGGAGGGAAGGGAGCGAGGGGCGGAAGGATGGAAGGGAGCGAGGGGCGGAAGGATGGAAGGGAGCGAGGGGGGGAAGGATGGAAGGGAGGAGGGGCGGAAGGATGGAAGGGAGGGAGGGGGCGGAAGGATGGAAGGGAGGGAGGGGCGGAAGGATGGAAGGGAGGGAGGGGCGGAAAGGATGGGGGGGGGGAGGGGCGGAAGGATGGAAGGGATGGGAGGGGGGGAGGGAGGGGGCGGAAGGATGGAAGGGAGGGGGGGGCGGAAGGATGGAGGGGGGGGAGGGGCGGAAGGATGGAAGGGGCGGAAGGATGGGGGGCGGAAGGATGGAAGGGGCGGAAGGATGGAAGGGGGGAGGGAGGGGGGAAGGATGGAAGGGAGGGGAGGGGCGGGGATGGAAGGGAGCGAGGGGGGAAGGATGGAAGGGAGGGAGGGGCGGAAGGATGGAAGGGGGGGAGGGAGGGAGGGAGGGGCGGAAGGATGGAAGGGAGCGAGGGGCGGAGGAAGGATGGAAGGGAGCGAGGGGCGGAAGGATGGAAGGGAGGGAGGGGCGGAAGGATGGAAGGGAGCGAGGGGCGGAAGGATGGAAGGGAGGGGAGGGGCGGAAGGATGGAGGGGGGAGGGAGGGGCGGAAGGATGGAAGGGGGGAGGGGCGGAAGGGATGGAAGGGAGGGAGGGGCGGAAGGATGGGGGGGGGAGGGGCGGAAGGGGGAGGGGAGGGAGGGGCGGAAGGATGGAAGGGGGGAAGGGGAAGGGGGGAGGGGGATGGGGGGGGGAAGGGGGGGGGGATGGAAGGGGCGGAAGGGGAAGGGGCGGAAGGGGGGAAGGGGCGGAAGGGGGGGGGGAAGGGGCGGGGAGGGGGGGGGGAAGGATGGGGAAGGGGCGGAAGGATGGAAGGGGCGGAAGGGGGGGAAGGGGGGGAAGGATGGAGGGGGGGGGGGAAGGAGGGGAAGGGGGGGAAGGATGGGGGGGGGGGGAGGGGGGGGGGGGGGGGGGGGGGGGGGGGGGGGGGGGAAGGGGGGCGAGGGGCGGAAGGATGGGAAGGGGGGATGGGGGGGGGGAAGGGGGGAAGGGGGGGGGGGCGGAAGGGGGGGGGGGGGGGGGGGGGGGGGATGGGGGGGGGGGGGGGGGGGAAGGGAGGGGGGGGCGGGATGGGGGGGGGGGGGGGGGGGGGGGGGGGGGGGGGGAGGGGGGGAAGGGGGGGGGGGGGGAGGGGGGGGAAGGGGGGGAGGGGGGGGGGGGGGGGGGGGGGGGGGGCGGAAGGATGGGGGGGGGGGGGGCGGAAGGGGGGAAGGGGGGGGGGGGGGGGGGGGGGGGGGGGCGGGGATGGGGGGGGGGGGGGGAAGGGGGGGGGGGGGGGGGGGGGGGGGGGGGGGGAAGAATGGAAAGGGGGGGGGGCGGGAGGGGGGGGGGGGGGGGAGGGGCGGGGGAAGGGGGGGGAGGGGGGGGGGGGGGAAGGGGGGGGGGGAGGGGAGGGGCGGAAGGATGAGGGAGGGGCGGGAGGATGGAAGGGAGGGGGAGGGGGGGGAGGGGGGGGCGGGGGGAAGGGGGGGGGGGGGGGGGGGGGAGGGGCGGGGGGGGGGGGGGGGGGGGGGAGGGGGGGGGGGGGGGGGGGGGGGGAGGGGGGGAGGGGGGGGCGGGGGAAGGGGGGGGGGGGGGGGGGGGGGATGGAGGGGGGGGGGGGCGAAGGGGGGGGGGGAGGGGCGGAAGGATGGAGGGGGGAGGGGCGGCGGAGGGAGGGGGGGGGGGGGGGGGGGGGAGAAGGGGGAAGGGTGGGGGGGGGAGGGGGGGGGGTGGGGGGGGGGGGGGGGGAGGAAGAAGGGGGGGGGGGGGGGAAGGGGGGGGGGGAGGGGGGGGGGGGGGGGGGGGGGATGGGGGGGGGGGGGGGGGGGGGGGGGGGGAGGAGGAGGGGGGGAGGGGGGGGGGGGGGGGGGGGGGGGGGGGGGGGGGGAAGGGGGGGGGGGGAGGGGGGGGGGGGGGGGGGGGGGGGGGGGGGGGGGGGAGGGGGGGGGGGGAGGGGGGGGGGGGGGGGGGGGGGGGGAAAGGGGGGGGGGGAAGGGGGGAAGGGGGAAGGGGGAGGGGGGGGGAAGGGGGAGGGAGGGGGGGGGGGGGGGGGGGGGAAGGGGGGAGGGGCGGAAGGATGGGGGGGGGAGGGGGGGGGGGGAGGGGAGGAAGGGGGGGGGGGGGAGGGGGGGGGAGGGGGGGGGGGGGGGGGGGGGGGGGGGGGGGGGGGGGGGGGGGGGTAAGGGTGGGGGGGGGGGGGGGGGCGGGGGGAGGGGGGGGGGAGGGGGGGGGAAGGGGGAGGAAGGAGGGGGAAGGGGGGGGGGGGGGGGGGGGGGGGGGGGGGGAGGGGGGAGGGAGGGGGGGGGGGGGGGGGGGGGGGGAGGGGGGCGGGGGGGGGAAGGGAGGGGGGGGGGGGGATGTGGGGGGGAGGGGGGGGGATGGGGGGGGAAGAGGGGGGGGGGAGGGGGAGCGGGGGGGGGGGGGGGGGGGCGGGGGGGGGGGGGGGGGGGGGAGGGGGGGGGAAAGGGGGGGGGGGGTGGAGAGGGGGGGGGAGGGGGGGGGGGGGGGGGGGGGGAGGGCGGAAGGGGGGGGGGGGGGGGGGGGGAGGGGGGGGGGGGGGGAGGGGGGGGAGGGGGGGGGGAGGTGGGAAAGGGACGAGGGGGGAAGGATGGAAGGGAGGGGCGGGGGGGCGGAGGGGGAAGGGAGTGGGGGGGGAGGATGGGGGGGGGGGGAGGGGGGGGGGGGGGGGGGGGGGGGGTAAGGGGGGGGGGGGGGGGGGGGAGGGAGGGAGGGAGGGGGGAGGGGGGGGAGTCGAACCAAGAAAAACGGGATGATTGAAGCGGGGGTTTGGGGGTGGGAGGACGATTTGGCCCCTTTGCTTGCTTTTTATGGGGCCCTTGGGGCACTATTTTTATTCCGGTCACCAGAAGGGGTACAATTCCCCCTAAGGGAAAAACCGATAAAGGGGCATTGCTCCCCCATGTGTTGGGTCATTTTGTCCCCGACGCCACAGTTGGGCCCCCTAAAGACACGGAGGCCAAACATTTTTGCCTTAAAAAAGACGAAATTTGATTTTTTTTTAAAATTTTTTTTGGATTTGTTTTAAAGCAAAGTCAAAAAAAATATATTTTTGTTTTTTTTCCCAAAAATTTTCCTGATTTTTCTAGTATAAAAAAAAAATAAAAAAAAAAAATTCCAGCGTAGATCCCGCCATTTGTAGACCTACAAACTTTTAAAGCAAAAAAAAAAATTTTTTTTTCAAACTTTTAGGTCTTTTTTTTTGTTTTTAGGCAGAAAAAAAAGAAACAAACAAAAAAAAAAAAACCCCCCCACAGGGGGATTTTCCCAATACCCCCTGAAAAAAGATCGATTTGTGGGGGGGGAGGGGGGAGGAAAAATTTATTTTGGTGCGGTGTTTGCATGCCTGCCCAATTGTAGTTGAAATGAGCAGCGCCGTACCACAAAAAAATTTTTTGGTCAGGAAAGGGGGGGGCAATCCTATGAAGGGGAGGGGTTTGTAACAGAAAAAAAAAAAATAACTCAACCCGATCACCAAAGTGGATTGTCCACTG